AAATAAAGCCAAAGATAATGAGCAATATCCAAAAGTTCAGCTTCGCAGCATGTGACACAACAATAATGAACACAATATGATAAGACGATCCAAAATAACTTTACACCACAATATAAATCCAATTCCAAAATACGATAAATAGATACACATGGTCTTTAGCTTTAATTTAACTCATTAACGCGCAAGCTGTTACAATGTTTCTACTTCCCAACGTGCAAGCAATATGGCGAATATGTGATTGAATTCAAGAGCTTTCACCAAAATGGCAATATCTCAAACAATTCAATGAAAAAATCTGGTCTTTTCAACCAAATATTATTGATATATGATTGACCAAATTTAGTTTAAATGAACTTGCATACCTATATATCAGGCGGTGATTGCACTACGACCGCAATGCATCATGAGTAAAATAAAAAATTCACTCATTAGCGTTCTGACGTTCGAGGTGAAAACACTGTGCACGGCCAAGCGATGGGTATATAAAATTGTCTATTGCCCTTCTTGAAAGAATCAACAGTGGCAGTACATGTCAAAGAACTTCTGGAAAAGTTTGTGCAGTCGATGCATCCTGCTGACTGCACAAAGCGTTAGCTGTGAGTTTCAAAGGTTTGGCGATGATCGCAAGTATGTTTGTTTTAATTTATTTATATGTTTACTTATTGGTTTGTGCAGTGTTTCAATCGCTAAACTTATGTATATTCTATTTGCTTTATTGTTCTTTATATGACTGTATTGTTATTATAATTATTATGCAAATGTTTCAGGGTTGTGGACATACGGTAAAAGTATGCATAGACACGGAAACTTTTCTGCAATATTATATTATTTAATACATATACAATATGCAAGCTACTGTAAAATTCCATGTAATTTTAGTTATGCTTTAATAGAATTTGCCCATCATTTTAGTACTTCCAATGCCATCATCGGTCACAATTTCTATAGTTTGACTACACAATCTTACCTAAAAACTATGGGACGAAAATCATAATCTTCACATATTTTGTATGCCATGCCAATTCAATTTTTGGGATGATCACAAATATTGTAAATATTATGCAGCATTGAATAGAGATGTTGAGGGGTAGGGGATAATAATGTGACTGAGGTGCTGTTTATATGATCTCGGGTAATAGAGACACTCTCTACCCTCCGAGCTACCCTGGGAGAGGCAAAATTATATTCATTATATAACATTTAAACGCAAGTGTTTATATGGAAAGTTTTCAACTCGTCTGGGCTGGTAGGGACACCCTGTTTACAAAACAGGGTTACCCTTGTAGGAGGGACAACTTTTGTCCATGTGTTTACAAGTTTGTCTCGGCTTCCATGGAGTCACAATCTCGTACTTAGAGCCATTCTCATAGGAAGAGATTAAATGTGCAGTAAAGTTGTCTCGGGTATAGTACGTGGGGATTGGGTGTCTCTAGTATCCAAGATCATATAAATACAGTAGCGCCTAAGTAATAAAAAATCATTGCAATGGCAATTTGCAGCTGGCAGAAAAACACCTTGCATAACAATATATGGAGAGTAAGAAAAATGATGTGGTTTAAATTGAACCACATACTATCTAGTTTTCAAGAACTTTGTTCTAGCCTTCCACTCACTAGAATTTACCAAAAAAAATTTTAAAAAATTCCAAATCCTTACACCTTGCCTATACCCCTCCCCAGAATTTACATTTTATTGGTGCACGGGAATGTCACAACAATTTATAATCCATGCCAATGCCTTGCTAATCAGACGTTTGATCAATTTGTTTTGCAAAATTCAAATTCCTGTTTTTAAATGACACCCCTTTTATGTACAAATGCATAAAAAATTATAGAGAGTAAATTGGAAACTAGTTGTGTCCAGTAAATAACAATGTTATTATCCACCTTTCAGCTTTGCTGTGAAAAAGATATTCAATTCAGTACATAATGGCGCCATATGAAGCAGATACACAAATTGCATTTATTGTGAATAATGGATATGCTGGTTTTGCCAGGGCTCCTCGTCCCCAGGCGCTTTGATTTGAGGCTGCGGTTTTGCAGTGTCTGAAGATTCAGACCTTGTTGTATAGAGCGTTTGCACTCATTCCCCACGGGCCAACTCAACAAAAGCCATGGCGGCCATGTTGGTGTTCCAGACAAGAGTCTAATTAAAATTATTTTGAATTGAAACACCAACATGGTGGCTGTGACGTCATGTGCAAATGCTCTATATCAGTGTGAAAAGGTACAGCATGTATAACAATAATTAAAATGGGATGTTTTTGTTTGCATTTCAATGATGATGGTGGTCATGTATAAACTTAGTAAAACATTGTTCAATGAAGTGTTATAAAATATATGAATAACAAATTTATTGTGATTGTATATGCTTTATAAACAGCACAAGTGTAGTGGGTTTACAGTGTTTTAACAGTTTTTCTACATAACTCACAGCAGCATTCTTAGAACTTCCTTCCATGCCAGCCCAGTTTGTGTTTATAGGGAGAAAGTTTTTTCAGATTGGAAACCAGGTCAGCCTGGCTGTTCAAATATATAATTATGCAAGTAGTTCATACCATAACATAATTAATACACTGTGTGCAACTATTGACATGGGTGTCCTGCATTTAATGGGATGGCCTGGGTGGGGTAAAATTTACACAGAACTATTATTTTCAACATTGACTTGGTGAATGCCTGGGTATAATGCTGTACACTATTTGTGTGAGACACTATCTGTATTATGCCTGTACATGTATCTGTGTTATATTTACATCCGTAGTAAGGCATTCTGCAGCAATGTGGACTACAGTATGCAATGTCAAGTTTCAGGTGCTATTTAAAGCTACAAACAAATGGTATGGGTAACTTGGTGGAAATGGCAAAAATTTTAACACATCTAAAATTAACCAAGGAAAAGTTTACTGAGTCATTGCCAGTTGCTCCAACTGACTATAATACAAGAAACAGTTCCAACAAGCACAAATGGTTTTTCACCACCAGACAGTCATTGATCCTGTCAAATATGAAACAGTCCCATTATTAAAGTCTGTTCTTCGGTTGTCCAACAGTCTGCCATTGGTCTTGCTCATTTTGACACACATTATTTTTTCCATTTGAAAATGTTTTTTTGCTTCTCTTTTGCGTTTATTATTTCTTTGCCGCTTTGTTTTTTGTTTGCCTGGCGTATGGGACTCTGGGATGCACGAACGCTTCCCCAAAATAGCGGGAGAACATGAACTCTGGACAAGAAGACCTGAAATTAGCAAAGGAAATATCATAATTTAAAAGCCCCAAAAAGACACAATATTGAGGGGCGCCAAGGGGTGCCATTTAATATGGTCACAAATAATGATCATAGATTATGCCAATTGCAATTTTAAATGTGATGTGTGAACGGTTAACCTGTGACATGAAAAAGTAAACAGACCAGTGTATTTGGGAAAAATACACGAGCTTACAATCAAATGATATTTTTTATCGAATTCCAAAAATTATCGATTTGAAAAGTAACACAGCATAACAATATTACATGCAACTTCCTTTTTACGAAAAAACAAAAAGTTTAAACTTTAAAACGTGGCAGAAAATAGAGCGCCAACATACCTTTCATCGTGCTCGAAATCCGCCATCTTGAATGCATTGCGGTCGTAGTGCGATCACCACCTGCCTATATATATAATTAGTTTTTTCAATGAGAATTTTTATTTGTAAAGCAGTGACATTTTGTTTTTCATGTCACTCATCACCTAATGGGGCAATATCTCCATAAATTTATATAAAAACAAAAAAAAAATTATTCACTAAATTAGTACATATCTATTTTATAACCAATTTTCATCTATTGGGATATGAATTAGAAAATGATAAAAAATTATAGAATATACTCCTTTGCTTTTTTGGGCAAGATGTTTACAACATGAAATTTAGAACAGTAACTAAGTGTTCAAATTCAACAAAGTGTGCAAGCCAAAACACAGTGCTTGTACATCTTTCAAGTTTTTAATTACTTCAAATATATTTATAAGGACATATGGACATACTAGAATCTATTTATTTTCAATAATAAACCAAGGATGGGAAGGTGAGAAAATAGGAATTTTCTGAGGTGTTTTTAACACGGACAATGACAGCCGACATTTTCAAAGGCAAATTGTGGTGACAAAACCAAAAGCTATTAACCTCTCTACTCAAAGCACTGAAAAACACAATAAAAAGAAAAACATTTTAAACAAACATCAGGTAAGACTTTTAGCTCAATTTTCTCATGTTTTTGTTGGAAAAGCAACGGTTTTTAGCCAAAATTATTTTGTGTGCCAATGTAGGCTGCTATAAAATATCAGACACATTCTCTTTTGAAGAGTCTGGCTCTGAAAAACAATCGCTTTTTTTTAGTTTGAAATAAGCCTTCATAAGGACTATTGTGTAGAAATGTTATCTATATGCTCACATGAAAAAGATAACCTAATATTCAGGTATTCCACATAGCTATAAAAGGGTTAAATAAGGACTTTCATCTTTGGTTGTTTGTCAGACGTGAGAAACCACATAGTGCCATTTTGACGCACATGCTATTTTATAAAATAAACACCTCGAAACCATAAACTTTTAGTTCAGAAAATTACAAAGTTTTCCATAGACAGTATTAAAAATGTTCTAGTGAAGCGATTTCATGATAAATAAGTGAGTAATGGGCCCAAAATAACTGCTAAGGTTAGTTTTTGTTAGGACTTCAATTTCATAGCTTCCCGCAAAGGAAGCCATTTCAGAGAGAAGCAACATTTTGCCAAACAACCGTCACGACCTATTTTGATAACTTTTTCTTCTGATTCAATGTGTAGTTACTAGAAAATGATGTTTCATCAACATTATTATCTGCTTTATCGATTTAAAGTTTTATAGGGGATATAAAAACCAGTAAAAAAGCATTTTGAAAGCTTTACAACTCAAGTGTGGACTTGTTGAGAATTCACACGCGGCAAGCAAGCGCATTTATTTCAATACACTTATTTCAAACCACAATATGTCTGAAAGAGTTGTCATTTTAAGGCTAAATTGATGAAAATAGATATAACAGTGACTTTGGAATATCCTACTTATTTAGTGTAATTTAATACTCGAAGTATTCTTGCCAAAAGGTCACGTACGCACACTCTGGTGTCATTTGAAACATACTTTAGCTAAAATAACAACTTGAACAAGACGACCAACAATGGGGTCACAAAAACAGTCGAAATTGTGCCCAAATTTGCATAAACAGTTTGTCTAAAAAGATAACTTTAAACCTGGATTCAACCAACATTAATGCGGTCGAATTTTGCGAGCGTTTGATCGCATATTTCCACTCAAAAATACCCTTTAAAAAATCGTATCTGCTCACTTGTGTTCCGTGTTCATCTTTCTTGTGATTTCCGACTTCTATTTTTAATAAAGTTTGGAGAAATCTTCATCTTTTTGGCTGAAAATCTTGCGCATGGTTCACAGAAGAACTTGGCCCAAAACGTCAATACATTCGCTTCCCTTTCATGCCAAATTTTTGTTGTAGATCATCCAAAAACCTCTTCTTTTTTCGCTTTTAAAACTTGCTGTAAAATCCTTCCTTGCAACAATATCTCCATTATTCATTATTTTTGAAAAACTAAGGTTTTAAACTTGAAAAACTTTGCGAGTTTCTGACCGATTTTCTTGCATGATACACCGTTGAAAAGCTCGAATTTCACGTTCTATTTTCGTATCTCTTGCTAGGCAACCTGATAAACACATGCTCAAATATCATGCCCGCAAGTTGAGGTGTCATTTGAGGGCGCATGCGGGCACACTGTCCGTTACCCACTTGTCATTCTCAGGGTGCATACGGGCGCATTGGGCATTAATGAGTTAATAGAATATGTGGTTCAAAAGCTTCAAAAAATACTTATTTATGCTTGAAATAAAGCGGAGGTCTCTAGAGCGTAATCCTATTAATCTATAAACAAACCTGACTGTTTTTGGTTTTTTTGTGTTTTTTTTCAAACCTGACTTCCTCCAAACCATGGTCCTTAACTCTTCTTGAAATAGTCCATCTTAAGACACCCAACATCATAGACATGTTTGTCCAGGAAAAACCAAGGCTTCGCAGATCTTCTAAAACTTCAGATTTAATGCAAATGTTTGGTCGTCCAACTTCCCCAGGGTTTCTTCCGTCAGTCACACAAACATTCTCTGCAACTGTTGCTGGTGTTACAGACAGTGTTGATACGAGCTGTTGCATTCCAGAAAGGATATCTGCGAACACATCTGAAAGCGCCTTTAAATGTTCTAAGTCGTTCGTCTCGAGGATCGCGTAAACACCTGGCAGGCTTAACTCTCTGAGCAGACCTACGACTTTATCAAGGACAATCAAATGCGATTCCAGTTTGCTTAAATCTGTGGTTTGTTCATGGCATACCAATTCAACTTCGTCAAGAACGTATAGTAAGAACATTGGTAAGTATACAATGTATGTGTAAATTATCCATGTATACGCTCACCAAAACACGGCATATATAATATTTGTAAACACCATTGGTAATGCTATAAAATACAAGTAATTCAAGCTTCAATAACTAAAATTTTTATTTGGCTTAGAATAATGTTTCTGACTGTAGGCAGCTGGCAGAATATTGTATCATAGATATAAAATTGTTGTTACATTAAGTCTAAGTTAAATACCTCATTTTTGGATTCCATATATTACTCTATTCCCATATTATTTCATTCACAAACACTAAATTTATTCAACGACAACTAATATATATTTCAATCTTGCATGGCCTGTTTTGGTGGAAAAACTCCATATTTGGTCACATGCATCGAATAAACTGTCTGACATTTTGTCAGACGGCCCTGTAAAGATATTTTAAGGCCTGCACTGCTACACAGGAAACAACTGATTGCATTTTTGAAAGTTTGAAGCTACCACCAAAGAAAACACATTCTGTGAGGCAAAGTCCTGATTGCCACAACCTACGATAAGGTGTCCAAGTACATTGATAATATACCCTTGAAAATGGTTTTGCTGACCTCCTCAATGAAATGATATCAGAAGATAAGGCAACACTGAAAAGGTCTTCTAAGGGAGCAGTCATTATTAATGC